GCCTCCAACCATGCCCTAGAGGATTCGTCCTCTCAGTAGCAGTCAATGTACCTGGAAAGGGCCGCCTCATCTGGGAGCCCATCTATCAGCACACTGACCGCCTCCTGGACCTGCTGCACCTGTTTTTCCGTAAATCGAGTCCCAGAATAACCGTCGGACACTACAGCCACCCTGAGACCCGCTTGGGACCCTCGCGCATAACTAATTTGCGCATGCGTTGCAGTACGGGGCTTCTCCCGCGAGGATGCGCCCTCCGGTGTCCCATCGGCAGACCTCTGCCGCTTCCCGTCGCCAGGCCGCTTTAGGGCCTCCGCTGACACACCAGATTGCGCACCGTCTAGCCCAGATGGCGGTGGGATCCGTCCAGCCAGAGCCCCAGAAGTGGTGCCCCGACCTTCCGAGCCCTCCGTCATCCGCGCCTCTCTCCGCTTCCGAGAACTTTTCCTTTCGGAACCTAGCCGAGACTTCTTCTTAATTTTTAGAGAGCCCACCCTTTCAGCGAGCTCTCTAGCTAAGTTTCTGACAGATTCCTCTGTCAGAGTACGATCAGGGTCCCCTGGTGAGGGGCCACCCGGATGTTTTGGGTCCCCCGTAGGGGAGACATCGGGGTTTTTATTATTCTCCTCGTGCTCCATGTTGTTCCCATGAGTAAAGGGGAAATGGCGGTCGACGTCCGCGGTGCCCCTACACGGACGCAAGGCTGGATACCCTGGGAGGTCGCCCGGTGTCCCAGAGGCTCCGTTTAAGACGGTGTATACCCACCGCCACGCACCCCTCGGCACGGAATCGCTTAACACCTTGGGTTGGGTTTAGTACCATTGCCCACGATGACCGTTGAGCTGCACTCGTCCCAGATATACATCCGAGATACCTGTGGCCCAACGATTCATTCGATTAGCCGGGCTACCGGCTTTACGGTGGGTGTCCTCAAAAACTGATCGAGGCGGTCCACCGCAAGACAGGCACCCCGTTGCCCCCCCCCCCTATACGGTCGCACACGGTTCAGCGCTCAACGCCGCCCCGCAGAACGAACTCGAGGACGTACGGGTTGGATTTTGTAGGGGCGGCCTTGGCTTGTTGCAGATTAATCTGCAGAGCTGCAACCTCCTGGTGGATCTCTGTCCCCACCATGACCCCGTGGCGGTTAAGGTTGGCCTTTGGATCTTTTGTGTGCCCCAGGACCTCACTTCCCCTTCTTGGGTTTCTTTTTTCCTTTTTTTTGGAAGCGTCTTACAGGGAGTCGCTACCAGTTGCAGCAGGAGGGGTGGCTGTCCCTCCTGCTGGTACCGACGACGGGGGCTATTGGGGGACTAGTCCCCCGTGTCCCGGATGCTGTTCTCTGAGCCCTTGGCCTCAGACGAAATCGTACCTGGCCGAAGACAAAGTACGGTCTGAAGTCCAGACGCCTCAGCGCCTCCAGCGACACATCACTTATACCGAAGGTCCAAGTTTGTCTCTTGCCTGAATACTCCTGAAGTAGGACAACCCAATCACGAGTATCCAGTGTCCGGTTCATATTCCCCAGTATATGCAACACATCTTACTTGGAGAGTCGATCCCCGTCCGGAAGATATGCTACGCATATATGGGGTTTAGGAAGATTGCCCCCCTTGACAAACTTGACCTTGGCGCCTTTCCAAGGCTGGAGGTGCTTTTCTTCGTTGTCTAACAGGTAATTTGTAGCCATCCAGGTCTATGGGTACAGTCCTGGAACATTTCCTGTGGGTTCCTGTCTCTAATGCGAGACACAGCTACCAATCTACCTGTTTCAGCTACCTGTTCAAGACTGCTGCAGGTAGCTGCGTTGGACAATGGAGGTTTCCCCCCTTGTCCTTCGCTGATTCCCCCAGGATTTTTGCAAGCGCCGCCTTGTAAGGCATGCTTTTGAGAAGCGCTGTCAGGTGTCTTCTCTTTGCACCCTGGAATCTTTTCCAAGGCTTTTTTGCCTTAGAGTCTGCCACCCCTGGCTTCAGAGAGGGTTTCAGTAGTTCCCTCTCCTGTTCAGAGGTGACAGATAGTGGAGTCATTTCCCGACTTCTATTAATAAGGGACAGCTCGCCCTGAGGAGCATCTGTCAGAGTATCATCCTCTGACACCCCAAAGAACGTTTCTTCTCCCTGGTGTGATGGAGATGACGACCAAAGATCGTCAATCTCCATTGGTTGTTCCTTCAACGGATGATCGAGTTTTTGACCCTCCTCGTTAGGATTGAGGTTTTTTCGTTGGTCCATGTTGTTCCCACGAGTATTGGGGATATAAACCGTCACCATATGTACAGAACGCCAAACTTACTCCGGAATTCAGCCTGGTGTTCCGGAGGGTCCGTTCACGATGCCGATTGCCTCCAGCATCATTCATCCCTCAGCACGGAGCCTCACACCTTGGAGTCGGGGTTTCACCATAGCCCGATTAGCCGTCCCTCTGTTCCCCAAGGGAGATTTACTCTCCTAGGGGGCAGAGGATCTGTTGCCCACTCCACACGGCCGTGTACAGGAAATACCTCCCCGCACACGAACTGGAGGACGTTCGGGTTGGACTTTGTGGAGTTGTATGCCTATGAGTCTCATGCTCTTGCGGTATTGCATTAAATGGTTCTGCAGAGTTTGTAGGTTGGTATCTAAAGCTATTCGTAAACCTCAACTCATAACAAACAAGCCTGTCGTGTAGGGTGCGCGCTACTCTCTGAAATCTAGGAAAAAAAATGTTCATGAAAAGTTGGAGAGGTCGTTGATGTGCTTTTCAGGGTTCAAAATAAACAACAAGAGCTATAATAAGTTATCAAAAAGTAGTTACAAACGGTCTTACACCCCAGCTCCAAAGAAAGAAAAATGCCGTGTACGGTATGCGATACTTCCTGAAAACCGTTTGTAACTACTTTTTGATAACTGATTATAATAGCTCTTGTTGTGTACTTCGGACCTTAAAAAACACATCTACGCACCTCTTCAACTTTTAACGAAAAAAAAAAAATGTTTCCTAAATTTCAGGGAGTAGCGCGCACCGTTCACGACAGGCTTCTTTCTTTGGAACTGAGGTGTAAGACCGTTTGTAACTACTTTTTGATAACTGATTATAATAGCTTTTGTTGTGTACTTTGAACCCTGAAAAGCACATCAACGCACCTCTTCAATTTTTCACGAAAAAAAGATTGCCCAGATTTCAGATAGCACTACAGACACTACAGACTTCGTTCTTTGGAGCTGGGGCTTAAGACCGTTTGCAACTACTTTTCGGTAACTGATTATAATAGCTCTTCTTGGGTACTTTGAACCCTGAAAAGCACCTCTTCAATGTTTCATGAAAAAAAAGGTTTCCTATATTTCAGAGAGTGGCGCGCACCATACTCGGCAGGCTTGTTTGATATGAGTTGGGGTGTACGAATAGCTTTAGATACGAACATACGAACTCTGCAGAACCATTTAATGCAATACCGCAACAGGATAAGACTCATAGGCATACATAGCATACATGTAATTCCGCGCTCATCTCGTATGAACGTCACGGGCATCTAGCGGCGCATACGATTGTGGAGCCAGCTATTGGAGCTACCGTCACACGCATACAAAATAAAACCAATATTTTGGCAGATTGCCGCGTCAGCGTTGCTAGGCAACGAGGTAATGAGCTTCGCTATCCAGGTGGCTTCTGTATCTTTCTAACATACGTGTCTATAGTTCTCTCTCGTACAAACTCAACTCAAGCCGTCAAACAAATTTGGTTCTCAGTGTATGCGTGGCTCGTAATGATCTAACCTTTAAATGTTTTTTTTTGTTTTTGTTACGCTTCTATGAATGCATGGAATGTATGGTCTCACCTCTCACAACCCATTATACTGTAGCATCAAAATAACAAGGAAATTAACATGATTCAAGATGAATTTTCCATTATTAGCTTTATTATTATTTAACGGCGCATGCTTTTCAATCTTGAAAATGAGCAAAGTTGTAACCAGCCAGGTCTGATTTGTTTCAAATTGGGGCATCAGGTAAAACAAATCTGAATTTAGATTTTTTTAAATTTCTACTACTTCTACTATAATGTATTAGTTCTTAATGTGGTTTAAATGTTTAATCAAACTATTTTATATTAAAGTTGGTTTTAACTTGAATTTCTGCTTTGATAACCTCAAGTATCAAATGGTTTTCCCTCATAGGCTAAATTAAGTTAGGCTAGGAAAATATCCATCTAAGAAAATACCTTTTGTAGATTTACAGTATGTTGGTTGTTTTTAATAGTATTGTTTTATTTTTGTAGTGTTGTCAAGTATTCGTTTAGCACTGGTGCCTTCACTATTTCTTTGATTTGACATACTTCTTTGTACAGCTGATTCATGTTGAAGAACATATCAATTTCTAGATTTTTAGATTAGGAGAGAGAAAACAAAACAAATCTACACCTAAGCGCTAATGATGTGAGACATGCTATTTTGAGCTCATTTTACCACTTAACATAATTATTTTATTTTTTTTTTAATAAAATTTGCTTTTAATTATTTTATTGATTTATTCGGACATTTAAGTGTCCCAATCAGGTGCAAATTGGGATAGTTGTAACACTTCTTTTTGATTTATTATTATCACAGTTGAATAAGAGTACCTTGTAATCCCATCAATTACAAATCAAAGAATCAATCAAGTTACAACCTGTCCGATCATCCATTATAATAGTCAAGATTTGCCGAAATTTTTATGTGTGATCAATAGTGATAGTCGTGTCGGGTTACAGGGGGCGCCGAATTAGACCGGATCCAGATTACTGTGGTTATTATTGGTTATTACATACTAGTCATATATAACAAGGATGGTCCTTCGGTTTTGAATTTAAGATTCCACTTTTGCGAGAATATTTTTAATACTACTTCAGTTAGATACTTCAGGATCTTGAAGCTCCATATTCGAGACTATAACAACTTACACAATTGTTGATGTCTCAAATTTTCTGAATTTTCTGTAGACTATGTTGGTGATCAGTTTGTATTTTAATTTTGCTTTCTATTTCAGGCTGGTAAAGACTATGATCCATTTGCTGATCGTAGAAGACCTACAATTGCGGATAGAGAGGATGAGTACAGACAACAAAGGCGTAGGATGATTATTTCACCTGAAAGGGTGGACCCATTTGCAGATGGTGAGTGCTGAATTTTTTCTATTAAACATATTTATTTTACTTTTTGTATTATACTTATTGGAATTTGTTTATTGTATGGATAATAGATGCATTTATGATATGCTCCTAGGAATCTATTATTTTTATAAGTTTTGTAATATATTCACATATATTTCTGATCACAATTAATATAAATATTTTCTAGTAGTCACACACACTAATAGGCATGGTTTTGTTATATGTCCATGCTTAGAGCAATTGTATGTTGTATCACTAGAGTCACTCACTCAATTGATTGATTTATTGTATCAGTAGTGGTAACATTTTTGACTATTCTTAGCCCATTTATTCTAATGTGCGTGGGTTCCTTGGATCTTTTTAATTCACTAGTCATCCATGGAATTCAATGCTCTTTTGTGGCAGTATTGTAATTGTCTATGTAACTGCTGAAATTTTCATTCATTTTGCTGGAGCTGACAAATGACTGTAACAGGACGGTTTTAAAAGTTAGTAAGATATGTATGCACGTAATAGCTTCTCGCGTTTTGAACCTTGTATTATGGCGTACTTTCTATGCCAAGTCGCGTGACTTTGGTGTGCGCTGTTAATGGATGTTGGACTAATTAAGGCATTCATGTCAAGCTGACAGTGTGCGCCGACATCTTTTGACAACATTGTTGATCATAGAGCGCAGCTTGATCTAGAATTTGCACGAGTAGTGTCATACCTATGATGGAACATTTTCAGATTTATGATCTAACCTTTAAATGTGGATTTTTTTTTTGTTTTTGTCACATTTCTATGAATGCATGGTCTCACCTCTCACAAACCATTATACTTTAGGGTCAAAATAAAAAGGAAATTATTATGGTTCAAGATCAATTTTTCATTATTATGTCATATGATAGAAAATTTTCAGATTGGTTGTACTTACTACCCTTAGACTTGTTCAGACACTGAGCATTGAAATTCGCCCAGGCCACAAAATTTGCCATTATGAACATGCCGACTGGAAGCGGCTCGGAGACGTCTCTTCCACCTTTTCTTGGAGAGGTACTTGTTTCGCTGACGCGTATGCGTCTGCTCATCGATAACCGAAATTATCCATGTTGTGATGGAGGAATACAACCCTCATATAGTGAAAGTACATAAACCAGGGTCCAACGGCTGGTACAACAAATCGTGCTACGCCGCTCGTAAGCAGAAGATCAAGGCACGCAGAACCTTCTTACAAAACTCTACTGTAGAGTACAGACAAGTCGAGAAACAAATATAACGAAGCGGTCTGCAGTGCCAAAGACCAGGACAATAAAGTTAGGCACATGGTAATGTCGCAGAGTAATGGCGGTTGGTCTTTCTGGGCGCTGGCCAAGCAGAGAGAATGGAACTTCTCACAGAGTAGCCTTTCATCACTTTCGTGTCAGGCTGGAATGATTGTAACTGACTCAAATGCTAAGGCGGAAGTGCTTGCCAAGTTATTTGCTGCAAATTCTCAACGCCCGAGTGCCGTCGATTCAAAGGGTTAAGACCGTAAGACGGGTGATCTTGTCTCTCGACATCAATAAACTTCTGGTCCGGACTTGATTCCTGCCATTGTATTGAAAAGGGGTGCAGCGTAGCTTGCTCCAGTTCTTTCGCGTCTCTTCTAGATATCTTACAAATCCGGCACCTTCCCAGAAATTTACTCATGTCCAACGCAACCCAAAAAAGGGATCAAACTACAGGCCTATAGTTGTGCTTTCTGTTATAAGTAAGGTGATGGAGAGGTGCATAAATCGCGAGCTTCTGGACTACCTCAAACGTCACGGCTTGATTAGGATGGTTTCCGGTACCAGCGATCTACAGAGTACCTCCTAGCTTATGTCACGCAATTGTGTAGTAAACTCATCCAGTATTATGGTGAGGCTCATGTCATTGCTCTTGATGTCACGAAAGCCTTCGATCAGCTATGGCACGCTGCAAACTTCCATCCTATGGCCTCCCAGAAAAGCTTTGCAGGTGTGTGGCTGAGTTTCTGTCTGGCCGCAAGATGTCCGTCGTAATTGACGAGTTCTCTTCTTCATCCCAAAACGTTCACGCGGGTGTTCCCCAGCGAGTGGTCTTGGCTCCGACACTGTTCCTCTTACACATCAACAACCTGCTTTCCTGCATGACCAACCCAATCCACAGCTTTGATGATGACTCTCTACATGCAGGAATTCAGAGTGACAAGTCGATCTCTGTTGATGAGCTGGAAAAAAGAAGACTAGCAGCGACTTCCTCTCTGATGAGAGACCTGGAGGATATCACTGCTTGGGGACGCAACATTTTTATACAGTTTAATGCTTCCTTGATTAACAAAAAGCGTCCCAATGCTCATCGGGATTCGATGGATGGCCGAGTTCTGCCAAAGAGCCTTTCATTTTGACTGGTCGGAGTCCAGATCATCGAGGACTTGATCTGGCACGAACACATCTCGTCAATATCGGCAGCTGCTGGGAAAAAGCTAGGCTATTTGTTTAGAGCTAAGAAGTAGTTTTCTCCACATGACCTCACTATACAAGACCCAGATAAGACCTAGCCTCGAGAATTGCTCACACGTTTGGGGAGCTGCCATTTTATGCTAAATGCTGCTCAGAGAAGGGCTGTCTGAATGATCGATGATTCTTCTCTAACAGACAGCCTCGGGACCTTTTCGCACCGGCAGGCCGCCGGCGATCTAGCTCTGTTGTACCGCAACACCAACGGGCTTTGCTCCTCAGAGCTCTCCTCCATGATGCTGCCGCGCGATATGTCTGCCAGAAAGACCCGCCTGACTTCGGCCTCCCATCCTAACCGTGTCGAACTTCGTACATCTAGAACTAGCCGATACGACCGCTCCTTTGTCCTGAGGGTGTAGAGATTGTGGAACAATCTACAAAAGGGGGCTTTTCCCAGTTATACTAACCTTAGGCAGTTGAAAAATCGGATTAACAAAATTTCTTTGGGATCCCCATAGCAGCTGCGGTGCCCTGGTATTTAGGCTGCTTAGGTGTAAAAACAAATAGTTTCATCTGTATAGTTAGACCAAGTGGCTGGTGGTGGAATGCTAGGTTGAACATATCTCATTCCAGTAAGGTTTCTACTGTGCAACCTGGAATGATATAACAAAATTTTTAAATAGCTACTCATTTAACATCATCCATATCATTCTGTATTGAGCCAATAATAGTTTTCAAAAATTATTTCAGAATAAAGAATGTGTACATTACTACACATTTTTTTAAGCAAAGTTAGAAATAATTTCACCTATACAAGATGTGATATACCAAAATATTGTTTTAGGGAATAAAATTTTGAGTGCAAAATCTATATCTTGGATACTGTATATTTTACATACTCATAAGTGCATCTAGACTCCCATTTTCGCTATTTCTTGGGGTATATGAATGTAATGATGCAAGAGTGAATCTGAGCGAATGGTAACAAAAAGACACGTTGTAGTCTTCATTTTTTTGTAAAAGAGAAAAACTAATATATTATTTTCTTCTTCGGGATGACACTTAGGTATCTAAGAAGTTACTACTGTCTCTGTAAGATGGATATCTGTCGGCATGTTTTTGGTAAATAAATACGAAGCGTGAAAGCGTGTGTGAGATGGAAACACTAAAATTATTAATTACCCCAGAGTATTTCTAGGTTCGATATGACGCAGATTTTTTCATCAAGAATGAGCCTGCATTTAATTCAGAAGGAGCCCAAGATCACGTACGTATATAGATTTGTTCGCCATATTCTCATGAGCTCTAAATAATAATGGTGGATGGAAACTATGAAATACTTGGTGTATTTTCTGATCATTTTAAGTGCAATACAAAATATAACAGGGAATGTTGAAAATCATGGTCTGTTGACTGACAAGATTGGGATTATCCAGCTCCAATTCCTAAAAGTCTAAAAATGTACTGACATATAAAGTTGCTCTAATGAACATGGAACAACTTATCCTGTATTACTTCTCAACCAAATTAGTATCTCACTGAGAACCAAACCCTTACTTTCATCTTGTTTATAAAAAAATCTTTCAAGCATTTATCCTACCATACTATATACTGTCAGGTTGTATATACTTATGTAGATATTTGTAGATGTCTATATCAACCGACCTTGCCTGTTCTGACGCCGGGAATACACTTGAGCCGAGGCAAGCCGCGCACCGAACGCGGCAGCCTCGGCGCGCCGCGATGCGCTAGTGTATAGTGTACGGCGCGCCAACACAGCTGCGAACATGCTCGGTTTGCCTCATGCGGTGCACGACCTGAGCCATGGACTGTCGGTCCATCAAAGTGAGCACTGTCCGAGACGTGCCTCGTTCGTGTGCAGTGTGTAAGAAATTTTCGATCAGCATTTGCCTCAGGACGAATATAAAGTATATTTTTGGTTATTTACAAACTGTGGCACTAACTTCTGCACTTAAATCTAGGCATTTTTCATTGCTCCACTCCGATCTGAAAGATAAATTATTAATTTGATTTTTATTTCAATTCCCTCAGTCCTCGCCTGCAAATTAAATGAAATTAATCAATCTTACTCAGTTTTCGTCGACATCTTCTAATCTTCTACAAGTAAACGAAGTAATAAAACAAAACGAAGAGGAAATCAAAATGAACCGCTCCACTAAATAAGTAATCATCACTGAGTATGTGCTCCTGTATGGATCAGCTGTGAGCATGCCGCAACTCGCGTCAACACGTTGTTTCGGTGAATCGCATTTCGTTTCGCGGCAAATCACATCGGGGCGCGCCGAGGCTGCCTCGTTCGGTGCCCGGCTTACCTCGGCTCAAGTGTATTCCTGGCGTTAGATCAGTATCCGTTTGATGTGCAAAATTAAAATCATATGTGTCCTATTACAATTTGTCGATACACTTAAAAGTTTTCATTTAGCAATACTTTATGCCTGTGATGAAAAACCATTTCATAGTTTTATCCATAATATAAGTGAAAACGGTCGTGAAACAAGAATGAAAGAATCAAGTTACTTACATATGACTTGCCTAGCTAGTAGAGCGGATCTTTACTGTAAGAAATATTCGTTACCCTTGGATGATTCAGACTCTTTTTGAAGGAATCTCTCGTTTAATTTACACTTCAATTGAGTAAAAATATGAAATGTTGCCAAATGAGACCCTCACGAAAAATGAGAATATGACGGATGCAAATCGGAAAAGCAGAAACTAAAAACTAACAGTTTTGTAAAAAGATTGGAACAGATACTTCAAACAGCCCATATGGCTGAAAATCAAAACAAGAGATATCAAAAATTTGCGCTTCTTTTTTCTAATGGTATTGGTATTTTGGTGGTTTGTTTTGCAGGAGGCAAAACGCCAGATCTTCAAACGCGGAACTACTCACAGATTATGAAAGAGCAGTTGCTGAAAAGTGAAGAAAATGAGGTAAGTATCATATAGTTTTCATCTTATTGATTTAACTTGAGGTTTTTCACTTTAGTAGCTTCAAAGCTCTACTTGACTTATCTATTTAAAGAATCATTGTCACCCCTGTGGTGATTTCTACACCTTCAGAGCTTTGACAACCTTTGAGACTATAAACAACTTTTTTGTAATAAGAACTAATATTAAATAAAAAACGGATTATGTAAGCAATATACTGTGTAACCTCACTGAACTTTAATACTTAATTTTTTTTATTGTAGTTCTTCTATGAAGTTTTTTATGTAGTGTTTAATTTTAAAATTGTGTTTGCAGCTACGCAAAAAGTTGATTGAAAAAGCAAAAGATGGTACACTGAAGGCGACAAACGGCGACGTCAAGGCAACTCCCAAAAAGCGTGGTAGATGGGACCAGACAGTGGACGAGGCAGTAGTTCCAGCTAAAAAGAAGACACTCAGTGTGGCCACACCAAGTACAGCAGCCACGCCAGTTTGGGAAGGAGATGTAAGTGTACTTACTAGTGACTGACCAAAACTAGATTTTCAGCAGTAACGTAAACGAACATTCGGCTTCCGCCCTAGTTTCTACCGAAGCCGAAACTTGACTTATGAAAATGCACATAATTCCCCTTAGGGCCGGTCCAGACGCTACAACTTTTTGTCTGCGTAGTGTTAGGACGTAATGAAAACGTTGCAATTTTTAGAGCAGAAATATCTGTATATTTCGCTCAGTTTTGCGTGATATCATCATGGAAAAGGTACTCTGGTCAATTTGGCATGGTGTCTAGTTAAAAAAAGATGTATTTGCAGTTGCATCAGTTTCTTTGAATTTTTCCAATATATTCTCATAAGCCTTCCCCTTTTTATCCCCGTCCCTATACTCCTTGAATTTGACACGCAAAGTGCATGGGAAACGTTTGTATAATGCAATAAATTCTGTGAGAAACTCCCGAAGCCATTGTCGCCTGACAAATTGAAACTGAGGATTAAAATTTATCGGAAAATGGTGCTACCGTCTACAAGCGCCGACTTGTCCGCACAGTTCAAGGATATCTATGCTCTTTCGCTCAGTTATCACTTCATTTGTACCGTTTTCTCGCCTGATTCAAAACTGCGCGCTTTTCCAATCTACACACAAAGTTTTATCTGCAACGTGTTGAACTATGCAGACAAAAGGTTGTGCAAAACGTAGCGTCTGGGCCGGCCTTTATAGATTTACATATTTAGAATTTATCTTGATGAATAGGGTTACAAGAAATAAAATACTATAGTTAAGTTATGAAATAAATAACAGTACATTAAATACCTAGTCTGTGGAATGGGCCACTAGTGGTCGAGCACTTTTGGGTTTTTCAAAAGGGCGTACAAAATAACAAAAAAAAAGTTCGTATAAATATTGGTCCAAAGATGCTCCCCTACCGAGATATAGTGTGATGAAGATTTATTTATGAAATATTAAAAAAATCATATCTACGGAGTGGGTAGAGATACTGAGTTAAGATTTTAAATGTAAGCAATAAACACACAGTTTCCCGGCCCAAACTTAACCAGGGAAGTATAAACTGGGGCACCTGGACCCCTATTAGGAAATATTTTCCATGGCATTAGCTTTTTCAGAAAAAATAAGTGCATTTTATAAAATACCATTCAATTTTCTATAAATGTCACATAATTTTTGTCAGATCACTCGCTTTGGAGATATTTAGGTTTAAAATTTTTATGCAAAATCCTGCTATATTCTTATGAAAAAGTTCAGCCTCCCTTATTCTGAAATCACCGTGATACTTGATATTGGAAACACTACATGGCATGTGAAGAAAGCTATGGCACTTCATTACAACATTAATTGAATAATATGCGTGTCTTATCCTTAATCAGAAGCATAAAAGCTTACTTTTCATTAAACCTTTCCTATGTACGCCACTGATTTAGCCGGCACTTATAATTTCAACTTTTGAAATTTTTTTAAAAAATTTTCGTTTTTGATTTTTATGTTACAATGCAGACATAATACTTGAAATTTAAAATAACGTATATAACAATAATAATAATAAAAGGCCGTTAATAACCTGGCAGGTATTCAGCTTAACAACTGCTTTTCAGTACCAACCAGGGCAGAAAAAATACATCGAATACAAAAAAGTAGGTACAGTTTTCTCAGCAAAGTATTATTACACAAACAAGTCAAGTAGTTGAACAGGTGAATGAAAATCGGGTACAAAAAATTTAAAATATCGTCGAAAAGTCAAAACCTTGTAACTCGAAAATAGTAATTTTACAGGAGAGAGAAAAACTTTCCGAAACTAACGTTTTTTGTGAAAAAACAAGAAGTCTTGGTAACCTGAGAAAATAGTCTGTTCAGGATCTAGACATTAAGGTAAAAACGAATAATAATAATCGTTAGTTTTGAAGAAAAAAAAATATATGATGAGCTACCAGATTTCTGGCCAAAATTAATGAAACTTGAATCAAGGTACAAGGTTTAGTCATCCACTATACATAAGTAAATGTTTGTAATAATTATTAAATATTGGTGAATAATAACTGAAATTTGGTAATAATAATAATACACTGGGACTCACGAAATATTTTATTTTTCTAATGAATATAAATAAAAATGTTATTTCATATATAGACACAGGTAATACAAAAAATTGAAGTTTTCTCAATAAATCATAAAATCCATGGTAATCTTGGTGAATATCAGGTTTGAGTGCTTGCAAGTTATATTTATCACCTTTTATTGAAGAAGCCTTATAAAGACTTTTAAACGAACCAACGCCTAAGTTTATTCCTTTTGGTAAGTTCAGGTAAGTTCATTTGTGATAAAAGTTCGATTTATACAAATATTCAATTCCCTGTGAGGTATATACCTGAGAGCTGTTATGTCGGTAACACAAGGAACTATTTTTTTTCCTCCTGGTCTTATAGATGAATAATGCAATGCCGGGAATACACTTGAGCCGAGGCAAGTCGCGCGACCGAAAGAGGCAGCCTCGGCGCGCCGCGATGTGATTTGCCGCGAAACGAAATGCGATACACCGAAACAACGTGTTGGCGCGAGCCGCGGCATGCTCACAGCTGATCCGTACAGGAGCACATGCTCAGTGATTACTTATTTAGTGGAGCGGTTCATTTTGTTTTCCTTATCTTTTTGTTTTATTACCTCGTTTACATGTAGAAGATTAGAAGATGTCGACGAAAACTACGAAAGCTTGATTAATTTCGTTGAATTTGCATCTGGACGAGAATTTGATAGCAGAAGCACAGCAAGATAATAATCACCCAGAACCTCCATATCAATATGAAGATATCCAAGGACCGTATCCAGATCCGGAATCTCAACAAGTGGATATAATTTTTCCGAAGAAAAATACCAGAGTTCTAGTTCCATGAACTAAAGATCAGAGAAATGTAGTCTTAGCTCACTTTCAAAATCACATTTAGGCTAAAAGGTCCTCAAAAAGGGCTGAATGCGATACCTAATCGCGAGTTATACTAAATTATTACATCGTTCAATAAAGTAAAAGTTAATTATGAACATAAATTGTATCACAAACTATAAAGTATAACCATTTTTCTACTCAACAACATAATCAGATTCACCATTTATTCATGCATCATTCGAATCGCCTTTCACTAAGAAATGTTTAAACTTTTTTGTCAAAGATAAAATAAAGAAAAAATGTCGATTGGTGCGTTGTTAGGGCTGTATGGTATGGCATTCTGAACTAATCCATTTACTCGAAAATGCGCCATATCAGATTTCTAACTTTCCCAAACGTTAAGAAATTTTTCTGTGAAAAGCGATTCGAAAATGATTTACGGGTTGAAAAGCTGATGTCATGACTCAACGAATATTTGAATTTTAATGACAATTATTGTGTTAAGTGCGAACATGGTCATACTTTCGTGATGTCAAGAGCAACGACATGAGCCTCACCATAAGACAGGATGAGTTTACTCCACAATTGCGTGACATAAGCTATGAGGTCTCCTGTGGATTGGTGCCGGTTTTCTGGGAAGGTGCCGGATTCATAATAAATCTGGAACAGACACGAAAGAACTGGAGCAAGCTGCGCTGCACACCTCTTCAGTACAATGGCAGGAATCAAGTCCAGAACAGAAGCTTTGTTGATATCGAGCGACAAGAGCACTCGTCTTACGGTCTCATGCCTGAATGTTACGTCTCGCATAGTGCACGGAACCCTTTGAATTGACGGCACTTGGGCGTTGTGGGGGACGTCCATGGTGGAGTTTTCAGCAAAGATCTTGGGCATTTGGGTCGAATACAATAGTTCCATCATGACACGTAAGTGGTAGAAGGCTACTGCTGTGTGAGAAGTTCTTTTCAATCTGCCTGGCCAGCGCCCAGAAAGACCGACTACCATTGCGCCGCGACATAACCCTGTGCCTAACTTTTATATCGTGCTGGTTTTTGGCATTGCGAACCGCTTCGTTATATTTGTTTCTGGACTCGACGTCGGCTTGTCTGTTCTCTACAGTGGGGTTTTGTAAGTAGGTTCTGTGGGCCTCACCATAAGACAGGATGAGTTTACTCCACAATTGCGTGACATAAGCTATGAGGTCTCCTGTGGATTGGTGCCGGTTTTCTGGGAAGGTGCCGGATTCATAATAAATCTGGAACAGACACGAAAGAACTGGAGCAAGCTGCGCTGCACACCTCTTCAGTACAATGGCAGGAATCAAGTCCAGAACAGAAGCTTTGTTGATATCGAGCGACAAGAGCACTCGTCTTACGGTCTCATGCCTGAATGTTACGTCTCGCATAGTGCACGGAACCCTTTGAATTGACGGCACTTGGGCGTTGTGGGGGACGTCCATGGTGGAGTTTTCAGCAAAGATCTTGGGCATTTGGGTCGAATACAATAGTTCCATCATGACACGTAAGTGGTAGAAGGCTACTGCTGTGTGAGAAGTTCTTTTCAATCTGCCTGGCCAGCGCCCAGAAAGACCGACTACCATTGCGCCGCGACATAACCCTGTGCCTAACTTTTATATCGTGCTGGTTTTTGGCATTGCGAACCGCTTCGTTATATTTGTTTCTGGACTCGACGTCGGCTTGTCTGTTCTCTACAGTGGGGTTTTGTAAGTAGGTTCTGTGGGCCTTGATCTTTTGCTGGCGAGCAGTGTCACACGATTTGTTAAACCAGCCGTTGGACCCTGGTTTAGGCACCTTCACTGTGTGAGGTATGTATTCCTCCATTCCGACATGGATAATTTCGGTTATCGAAGAACAGACAGCCGACGCATCCGTGTCAGTGAAACAAACATCTCTCCAAGGAAAGTTAGAGAAGAAGTCTCTGAGCCCCTACCAGTTGGCATGTCCGTAATGCCAAGTTTTGCGGCCTGTACGAGTTTCTGCTGCCACAGCGGGTTGTGACCGAAACCTAACCTCCACAACACCGTGGTCTGAGTTACCCAGGGGGAACAGGACAGCAGTGCTGTAAGGGACAGGATGCGTGGTCAGAAAGAGCTACTGGC